TTGAGTTTAGTACATATTAATGGACATTTCATTGGGAGCATAAAGTATGTTTAAATAAGATTGATGAATGCAATAGCTATAGCTGGTCCTACATGTCTGCGTTCCAGTAAACTACTGAGTACTACGGTAAAATTATAATTTTCTGTTAAGGTTTTTTTTTTTTTTTTTGGTAATTAAGTAATTCATAAAATAAAAAAGAGTGATTACTAAAGAAAAAGTCATTTCCCTCAGCCCAGACATTACTGGGCAAGTACACAAAGAACAAAATGTCCACTATAGTGGCCCATAAAAAACCAACAAGAAAGTCCAAAACCTGACTAAGCCCAAGGCCCAAAGGTACATCATTCTGCACCCAGATAAGTAACTGCTTTCAATCACATCCTCGGGTGGGATGAATCAACAAACCATAAAGTATCAACACTATTGGGTTATGGTTGGGGGTATTGAGCAGTTGGGATCGGTGGTAGAGGTGGTGGAGGTGGTGGTGGAGGCGGTGGGGGTTATGATCATAGAGCACAAAAGATCGATGGTGATTGATTGGATTGACACACTTCGTTCTATCATTTAATGCATGCATATATTGGTGTGTGTATTTTATTATGGCTTCATTTTCGTTTGATCTTGTTTGGGAGCTCATAATTTTGATGTGGCATAAAAAGTGAATTAAGAGTTTTTAGTATTTCTCAAAATATAATTGATAATATCATATCTCTTATTAGGAAAATAATAATAATATCACATAATTTATAGTACTATATAATAATTTATATTTTGAACTAAATATTTACAAAATTATCAAAGATTTTAATCGCGTGCAAATTCACCTTGCTCTTTCCTAGTAATAATAATAACAATAATAAAATCCTCTAACATTAGACCTACTACCCATTTAACTTATATTATGTTCGGTGGGAAGGAAAAAAAATGGATGGAAGGAAAATAAAAAGGAATGAACAAATTTCCAATGAGCTTCGGTTCGGTGAGAGTTGCATCATTTTCTTCTTCTCTGAGATTAGGGTTTTAACGGTGATTAATCTCAATCAATCACTCTATGTTTTTTTTTTTTTTAACAAGCTCCAACTATAAACCTCAAATTGATTATGCTATTGCGAGTTATCTTCTCACCTTTCTCATGTAATTAAATAGTTGAAACCCTGAAACCATCCTTATTTTGCTCTAGGTTTTATCAGAGGAAGATGAAGCAAAAAGTCCAAAGTTTCCTCCACAATAATGGTTTATTATCATCATTGTGGCTGTAGAGAGGGGGAGGTTAGTGAACAAAGAGATGGGCAATAAAAAATTTGGGTGGGAGAGAGAGAGACAGGATAAATTTAAGAGAGAAAGTCAATAAAATGAAGATAAGGCTCTAGAACATTTGAACAACTCCTTAACTAAATAAAAAAAACATTTGAACAATTGTTTTTTTCTTTTTTCATTAAAGATTGAACAACTGTCTATTAGTCTTGGGAAAAATGACATCGCATTGAGATGGTCTTTGACAAGAAGTTTTAAGTATATCATTATTGGTGCACAATATGATTATGGATGTTTAGGTTCTCTAAGGAGAGGATTTACAATATACTCATTGTTGACGTGGACTAATAATAAATTGATATATGATCTTTAATTACTAAATTAAATATGGTGAGTAGATATTCATTTACAAAATTAGAAATAGTGATTTGATTACCTCTGTGATTTAGTAATTAAAATAGGACGTATCCATTTATTATTAGTCCACATAAACGATGCGTATGTTGTAGGTCCCCACTAACGAGGACCTAACTATTATTCTATAATTATTGTCAACTTATGGAAAAAAAGTTTATAATTATTATCAAAATAATAAAAGAGAGAATAAAATGGGTTAATTTAATATAAAAAAACACCTTAGCAAGGGTTAATTACTAAAAAATAACCTCATCAAAAAATATTTTAGGCAAAAATAATTACAAATATGTCAAATTTTACCATTCATGAATACATGGAGACCAAATTACCCTTAAGTACTTTCTAAAATTTACCAAATTACCCTTAAAATTATAATATAAATACTCCCTCACTCACTACCTCCTCTCTCTCTCTAGAACTACAAACTCTTGCAAATATCTCTTTTTCTTTTTAAGAGTCTGTGTTCTCGCTCTCTTTTTGTTTTTGGCTTTAGCTAGAACCTAAGATTGCAAACCTAGCAAACACACAGAGGGACTATAATTAAATCTTAAATCAGAAGCAATAACTATCTTAGGGAGAGTAGTTGAAGCCCCCATCACCACCCGTTTGATATATTGAATCAGTTATATCTATAGGCGTTTCAGATGGTGGAGGGCTTAGACGATGATGAGTTTTGGCTTTCTCCTCAGATCCTCATTGACGAAGACATGCTCATAGACTATAACAAATTATCACCATCATATATGTATTCATGAATTGTTCTTGTTGTGCCTCTCGCTCCTCCCGTTCCTTCTAATGTAAAACTTCCATTGCATTAATGTAAAACCCTTATTGAATAATGTAAAATCTTTACAGAATGATGTAAAACTTTTACTTAAGCAAAGTAAAACAGTAATAGCATTATGTCAAATCTTTACTCCATAATATAAAACTTTCACTTAAACATGTAAAACTTGCACGTAAACAAAGTAAAACATTCAATGCACTTAAAACCCTCTTCTTTTTCCTTCGTCTTTCTCCTTGCTCAGCTTTCTCCAAATCAATGGCAGACTTTACACTAGGCGAGGGGGTCCTAGGATCTGTACTCTTAACCCGTTGGGTTTACACATAGACAGCTTGCACCCCTGCTCCCCTTACTCATGTTGTGCCTCTAGCTTCTCCAGTTCCTTCTAACGCAGAGCTAGCACAAGAGGAGTAATGGTATGTCGTGCCCATGGTTGTTAAAATCGCGATTCTGAGTCGTAGAATCGCACGATTCTATGACTCAGCTCTTAAAATCGACTCAAATCGGATCAGAATCGCCCAATTGATAGAATCGTAGGTAGAATCGTTAGAATCGTTGTTAGAATCGTAGAATCGTACGATTCTATACGATTCTACCGATTCTACCAAAAATGTGTGTTTGGGGCCTTTGGGCGGGCCTTTATACTATTTGGTCTTTGGGCCTTTATTCTTTTAGTTGTTTGAGCCAAAGCCTGGCCCAAATTTTGTATAAAAATTTATTTACAAAATTATATATTTTAATTATTTATTTTATAAATCATAAAATACAAAACAAAGTTACGAACCCTATCTCAGAGAGGAGTGAGGAGTCGAGGACTGAGAGGAGGCGGCAGTGCAGAGGGCAGAGGCTCATAGCTTGCAGATCGGAATCATCGGATCCATACAGCAGCTTACAGGTTCAGCCAGGTATGTTATATATTTATTTTCTTCCTTGATCAAGAAATTTCAAGAATCTCCAACTACTAATTAACAGGATCCATGACAGTGAGGAGAGAATTCAACCAATTAAAAAATAATAGGAAATATATACACACAAAGATATAATAAATAACTTCAAATCCTGTTTTGATTATATATATAATTTTGAATAGACTGGTTTGATGAATTTTTATTATTATTTTTTATTTCTAGTGTTTGGAAACCTGCTTTGAATTAAAAAAAAAAAATAGAGGTAGATTTAGGGCAGTAAAATAGAGGAATGTTGAGGTAAATTAAGAGAGATGGAGAGGAGAACAGATCTAAAAGCAAAGCTATGCATATGCATAATTTATTCAGTGAAATCAGTTTTTTTTATAATGGCTAGCTCTCCATCACAACTTGTGATTCACAAGTACATAATATAATATTTTTATAATGGATTAAGGAAAAAAAAAAATAGAGAAAAAGACGAGCAATTCATGGAACAATAATACTATTACAAAACTCAAACCTAAGAGAGAATGAAGTTCCATTGGTAGAAACCTAAGAGCACGGTCTAGAGAGAGAAAGAGGATATGAGGTAGAGAGAGAGAGGGAATATGGGGATATAGATAGAACAAACACAGTTGAATTGAGTTGTGATGTGAATGAGAAGTGTTGTCCAATCCTCGTGTCTCTCCTCTTCTCTATGTAGCCGCTCATACAGCTCTTTCTACAGTAGAAACATAAAACGAAGTGAGGAACTGAGTAGGTGTTGTTTTTGGTGTTGGGAAGAAAAGTGCACAGAAGAGGAAATTATGGAGAAGGTACTAAACTAAGCACACAGTCACACACACAATCGTATATACCCTTTTTTATATTTAATATATATATGTGTACCTCAGGATTAATCTTAGTTAATACATAACTTTCTGTTGGCTCCATGATTTTAGTATTTTACAGAATATATATATATACACACACACACACACACACACACAAAAACAGTAGGTTCTAGCTTCAAATTAAGAAGTATATATGTGTAGTGAATTTAATTAATTTGTTGCAGGAAAAGCAGGCCTAAGGCTTAATACACCTGATCTGCTTTCTTATCCGTATTTCTAATCCTGCCAACTAGTTATATGAATTATATGAATGCAAAACTTTTGATTGGTTAAATAACTTGAATTATATGAATATTGAAATAGATGTCATCAGCTGGAAGTTCTGGTAAAACTACAAGAAAAAATGCTCTGGGACAAATATTAGATCCGGGATGGGAACATGGGGTTGAGGATGGGATTTCAAAAAAAGTGAAGTGTCGGTATTACAACACTTCCCATTCTGGGGGTATTTATCGGCATAAACATCACTTGGCTGGCACTCATTTAAATGTTGAGCCGTGTCCACAAGTGCCCGAAGAAGTGAGAACACAATTTCAAAAAATTCTTCAAGCTCATTCAGAGGAAAGTCAAAAGAAGAAGAAACAAAACTTATATGATGTTGATATCGATGATGATGATAGTGAATGTATAGCCTTAGAACAATCAAAGAAGCGGAAGCAAGGTGGTGCAATGGATGGATTTGTAACAAAGAATTCGTCACAGCAAACAACATTGAATGAGAAATTTAAAAAGGAAGAGAGAGATGCAGTATGTCAAATCATAGCCCGATTTTTTTTATACCAGTGCTATACCATTCAATTGTGTGAACAATCCCATATTTCCTCTTATGATTAAAAGGATTGGAGAGTATGGGAGGGGGCTCAATCCTCCTTCTTATCATGAAATTAGAGAGACATTCTTGGAGAAGGAAGTGAGTGAAGCATTGAATATACTCGAGAATTTTAGAGGAGAATGGGTGAAGACTGGATATACTATTATGTCAGATGGGTGGTCTGACAGGAGGAGACGTTCAATATGTAATTTTCTTGTCAATAGCCCATCGGGAACTATCTTTTTGTCATCCCGAGATACTTCTGATATTTCAAAAACTGGCCAAATGGTTTTTGAAATGTTAGATGAGATTATGGAAAAAGTTGGAGAAGAAAATGTTGTACAAGTTGTGACTGATAATGCTTCTAACTACAAATTGGCTGGAGAGATATTGATGGAAAAGAGGAAAAAATTATTTTGGACACCTTATGCCGCTCATTGCATTGATTTGATGTTGGAGGATTTTGAGAAAAAAATTGAGATGCATAGTGAGACAATTGAAGATGGAAGGATGATTGTTTCATACATTTATTCAAGGTGTATGCTTAACCATTGGATGAAGGAATTCACAAATGGCAAGGAGCTTATTAGACCTGCAGTGACGCGATTTGCCACTTTTTACTTAACTTTACAGCGTCTTAATGAACTAAAAGGAGAATTGATGAATCTTTTTACATCCTCTAAGTGGAAGTCTAGTAAGTTTGCAAGGACACGTAAAGGGAAAAGAGTTGAAGGCGTGGCTTTAGACAATCGTAACTTCTGGACAAATGTTGCCAATTGTCTAAGAGCTGCAATACCTCTTGTTAAAGTACTCCGATTGGTGGATTCTGATGAGAGACCGGCTATGGGATTCATTTATGGAGCAATGGATCGTGCCAAGGAGGAAATTAAGAAAAACTTCAATGGCATCAAAAAGTGGTAAAGTTTTAATTTATTTAAAAACTAAAAGAGTAATAGAGTTTTTTATTGTTTAAAATATAGTATTGTTTGTAAATAGTTAAACTGAAAATTATTAAACTTACATTAAATTAACGATTTTGTAGGTATGAACCTATTTGTACGATCATTGATGCAAGATGGGCATCTCAACTTCATCAACCCTTGCATGCGGCAGCATATTTTCTGAATCCCCAATTCCAATATAGTCCAAGTTTCCATTTAGATGCAGATGTGAAAATAGGAGTTTATAAATGTCTCCAAAGAATGGTTCCTGATTCTAATGAGAGAGTAAAAATTGATTGCCAAATGGACACATTCAAAGCTGCAAGAGGGCTCTTTGGCCTAGATAATGCAATATTGACAAGGAACAAGAAGTCTCCAGGTTAGAAAATGCAATATTGATATTTGATAATTTATTATATTTCGTAATTCAAATGTCAATTGAAAATTGAATAGTTTTAACTTTAATGTTATAATTTTTTTAATATAATAGCTGAATGGTGGGATTCATATGGTAATGAGTGCCCCGAGTTGAAGCAGTTTGCAATTAGAATATTGAGTTTAACATGTAGCTCTTCGGGATGTGAAAGGAATTGGAGTGCCTTTGAGATGGTAAATTACTGAATAATGCATAGTTCTAAAATTTTAATAATGTTGTTGTTTAATTTTAAGTTTTAACCTCATTGGTAATATATTTAGGTGCATTCAAAAAGGAGAAACCGGTTGCAACAAAAGAAAATGAATGATTTGGTATTTGTTATGTATAACATAAAATTGAAGGAGAGGAACTTGAAAAGACAAGCTGTCATAGAACCAATTATTTTTGAAGATGTCTCTTCCGATGATGAATGGATTACAGAAAAAGAGGATCCGGTTCTTCCAACAAAAACTAAATGGTTGAGGGTTCTTGATGACAAAGTTCAAGAAGATGATTCTGATGAAGAAGATGAAGTAGAAAGGATGACTAGGACACGTAAGAACTTAAATTTTAAACTTTTATTATAATATTGTATAAATTATTACATTATATTAATTTTTGTTCTTTCTTTATGCTTTGTAGTTGAGGAAATTTTATGCAATTGATGATAATGAAGATTTGCAGCCATTAAATCCTATTGATGAAGCTAATGAGGAAGATGGTGCAGGGTTCAATGATGACTTTATGGATATGTAATTTTAGTTTCTAACTTTGGAGAGGGATGAGTTAGGATTTGAGATTTATGGACTATTTTATTTTGTGTTACATCCTCTTTTATTTATATTCAGACTTTGGAATATTTTCTTTTACTTTTATTTATATTCGGACTTTAGAATATTGTTAGGATTTGAGATTTGAAGTCATGGATATGTAATATGGTATGTTTTGGCCTTATTTTGGTTATATTTTACATATCTTATTGTTTAGGAAGTTAGTTTCAATTATTTTTTCACAATTTGGTAGAATCTTACGATTCACGATCCGATTCTACGATTCCGATTCTACGGAGCCCAAAACGATTCTACGTAGAATCCCGATTTTAACAACCTTGGTCGTGCCCTAGGTTTGTAAGAGAGAAGAGAACAGTGACGATGAGGGGTAAATGGTTCAACATTTAATAAATTTCAAGAAGTATTTAAAGGTAATTTGGCCTCTATGTATTCATGAATAGTGAAAATTGACATATTTGTAATTACTTTTACCTATAGTGTTTTTTGATGGGTTAATAATTAACCCTTGCTAAGGTGTTTTTTTATTAAATTAACCTGAATAAAATTTGTCTTTATAGAGGAATAAAAACAAAATAAACAAAATTTAGAGCTTAAATCTCATAATTTCAATAAGATTTTTTTGGTAAGTGAGTACGCTCTCGAAAGGTTAAGAACAAATCCAATAAGTTAGCGGTGCGTATTATTTAATTAGGTGAACGAATCAGTGGCTTCGGCCCACTCTTATGCAGTTTTTATTATTTGGTTTGGGCCTAATAACCCGGGTGCTAAAGCCCAAGAGCACCACGCCAAATTTGGATTTTTTTATTTTTTTTTCTTTTTATATTCAGTTTTTATTATTTTTTGATTATTTGGTGTCTGTTCTCTTACCGGATCTAGATCTGGATGGGAGGTGAAATGGATATAAATAGGTTAGATGTTAGCTCCACTTAATAGGTTAAGCTTTTGAATCGGGTTGCTAAGCACCCACCCGTAACAATTGGTAATAAACTCAGACCGAATCCTTTATCCGGTGTCGCACCAATTACCCAACCCGGATGTGTTCGGGGGCATTAATGCAAGTAACCCGATCACAGCGAGAGCGTTATAAATTCAAGTGGGAAAGAATGTTGCAAAGGGAGACTTAACCTACATTAAATTAAGATGAAAAGTGAAATGGGTCAATGTATTCGGGTACTAGGTGGCCTAATTGCAATGAGAGCATTGCGAGTTCAGGTGTTCGAGTAAGGAATAACATTACAAGAACAAACTTGTCCAATGTCGAATTTGAATAAAAAATGATATGAGTATAAATAAATTATAACTTAAGGTTTTAGGGTCCTATGGCGAATCACATTACATTTATTCACAAATGTGAATGCTCAGGTGGTTTGTTATAAAAAACTTTGAAGAATATTTTTCTTTTTTATTTTTTTGCATTTATCTTTCTTTTTTAGGATAACTGTTGTTACTAAAAAAAATATCTCCAAGTGGTTTGAACTGCATGATTACATGCTTTGTTGGTTGCAAAGCTCATGTAAAATGCACTAATTCTAAAAAAACGTGAATGTAGATTATATAATTTGATCAATTAAGATATATTGTAATGGTGTTTTTGGAATCTGAAAAGTTACCAAAAAGGATGGAAAATTTAAGGTGGGAGTGTTGCAGGCGTAAAGTTAATCCAATTATAGGAAAAATGGAATACCGTGGATGATATGGTGGTATGGAACATGATAGAAGATGTTATATTTGCAAAATATTATTATAAAAACTCTTAAAATATTTTTAGACATAATATTTGATATGAGAATATTATAAGAGAGATTTAGCATATGATAGAATATTGATTGAATTGTTTTATGGTATTGATTTTAAGAATCTTTCATTCATTAATATATTTTTTTTTGTACTTATCATATGTATTCTTTCACCTATAAATAGGGATCATTCTATACCCCGATTAAGAGAGAATATATTATAAATAGTAAGAACTTGCACTCTTCTTCGCTAAGCATGTTCCAAAGTAGTCATGTTAATAATTCATATTGCATAAAGTAGTCATGTTAATAATTCATATTGCATGATTTCGGGCTATCAGAATTTATCATTTCAGATATTATATTAGAGAAAACTATAGCATGCTTTTTCAATCCTGATATTATTTACCTTCCCTTATCAAATAAGTTTCATTTCCAGAATTTATCATTTGAGATATTGGAGAAAACTAAAAATAAAAATTATCTACCCTATTTTGTTTTTAATTTTTCTATACAATCATCATCACTGATTAATCTTTTTCTTCATCCAAAATGGTAACCCACATTTAAATATGTTTGCAGACTTTAAGAGCATGTTTGGTGTGGTGGAATGAATTAGAATGGAATGAGAATTCCACGGTTTGGTTGTAAACATGGAATGTGTAAAAATGGAATCTCATTCTCATTCCAATGTTTGGTAAGAAAGTTAGAATAGAATGAATTTATATTATTTCTTTAAATTACATTTTATTATTAGTAAAAAAAATTAACTAAAAAAATTAATTTGCAAAAATAAAAGGGAAAGAGATAATAGAGAGAGAAAAATAAACGAGATAAAGAGAAGGGGAACAAACAGCATATAGATACATATTATATATATACATATTATATATTATATTTTATATAGTGTCTGTATGCGTGAATTATCTCTTTAAATTATTTTATTACTTTATTAATTCTTAGTAGGAATGGAATAGTCATTCCACCTCTCAAGAAGTGGAGTGGGCATTCCACCTTTTTGAAGTCCATTCCACTTTTAATGTGACACACCAAATAAGAGAAGGGAAACAAATGCACTCCATTCCACCTTCATTTGATTCTATTCACTCACACCAAATATAGCCTAAATACAAAGTTTACAAACTAATCATCCAAGATGTGTACCCAATATATACTAATAATTACATATAGGTATGTTTGCAATTGTAAATACAAACTCTACAAATTAATACATCCAATACATTAATTTTTATTATTGTTTAATATTTCTCAAAATATCTAAGAAAACAATGGTAATTGCACAAAAATTTTTGGTAAAATGCGAATGGGTGGCTTTAATTACTTACATTTACAATAATCAAGTGTACCGGTTTTAGAGTAAATTATAAAACAAAAACCCTCAACTTTCAACGATTTCATAAATTACTCCATTAAGTATTGTTTTTACACATGATTTCTTGACAATATTAAGAAATGGTGCAGATCACTAAAGATTGAGGACGTGAATGAACATATAGTATAATGTGCATTAACACATGTGATTTTAAGTTACAAATTTTTTTAAAATATCCAATTGGGTAAATTGTAAAGATTCCCTTAAACTCTCGCAATTTTATATATTACCCCTTCAACTTTGGTTTTTTCACATAACTCTCTTAAACTATTAATTAAAAAATGTTACAAATAGGCACAGACCCAACATAGGACCAGTGGGATGGATGCCCCACTGAATTTGTTATATCTCAATTTTTTAAAAATTTATGAAAATGCCCCCACTAAAATTGCAATTTGCCCCCACTAAATTTTTTTTTTTTTTTTTTACATTTTATACTTCAAATGTTTAAGAATTTATGAAGATGCCCCACTAAAATTACAATTTGCCCCCACTACTTATATATTTTTTGCATTTTATACTTTAAATTTTTAAAATTTTATAAAAAAAACCCCATTGAAATTATAAAAATGGACTCACCATATAAGTTTGCTCCCACCTAAAATTGCAATTTGCCCCCACTAAAAAAAAAAAAAAAAAAAAACAAGTTTAATTAGGCGAGACACAGTTCCTAGCATCTATGTTAAACAGGATTCCAAACATTGTATACATTCTCCACTCAAATAACATGCAACTCGGGCCAATACACATAACAAACCATTCGAATCAGTTGTGATTCCAAACATTTTTTCTTTTTCTTTTTTTTAAAAGCTCACCCATTTAAAAAAAAAAAAAACAAATCAAGCTATTCTGTTTGACATTGTTTGTGCTACTTGTTTGGGTTGGATTTGATTTTTATAATTAAAAAAAAAAAAATCTAAGCATAAAAAGTAAAAGTTGAATGTCAAGAAGGAGAGGGATATCAACAACCTAACAAAGCCAACCATGGAAACCAACTTGAATGTCAAGGATATCCCCTAAAGAGATCAATTTGAAGCGACAATAAGGGC